GCCGAGCCGAGCCGAGCCGAGCCGAGCCGAGCCGAGCCGAGCCGAGCCGGCCCCGCCGCACCGGCCGCAGCCCCGCCGGTCCCCGCCGCACCGAGCCGCGCCGGGCGGAGCGGAGCCGCCGCGCCGGGGCCGCCCCGGGCCGGGCCATGCGCTGAGGCCGCCGCGCCGCCCGCAGCCAAGGGCGGATCCCGGGCAGGACACGGTGAGGCGGCGGGCACCGCAATGCGACCGGCGCGGCGGGGGCCGGGGGAGCGCGGGGACCGGGGGTGCCGCGGGCACGGGCGGGGAGCGGCGCGGGGGGACCCGCGAGCCTGCCCCGCCATCTGCCCGTGCCCTTCTGCCGCCTCCCCATCTCCATCCCGAGCGGGATGCTCGTCCCTCCCTCCCGCCCCTTCTGCTGCTCCTCCATCTCTCCATCCTGCCCCTGCTGCCTCTCCATCCCTGCTCTTCCCCTGAGCGCGGTGCTCGTCCACTCTGCTCTTCCTCTGCCCTTCCGACCTCCATCCTGCCCCTTCTCCTGCCCCTCCATCCCGCCCTTCCCTGCCCCTCCATCTTCACCCTGCCCCTGCCCTGCCCTCCATCCTGACCCCCAGTTCGCCACCAGTGTCACCTCCCGTGCTGGGGCCTGAGTGGGAGGGTGCTGGGTGGTCCTGGGGGTCCTGGGGGCTCCTAGGTGGTCCTGGGTGGTCCTTGGGGTTCCTGGGGGTTCAGAGCCCCCCGGCAGGATCAGGCCCGGGTGGTCCTTGCCCACGAGCTGAGGGGGGGCCGTCCTGCGGACCCTCGGGCACCAGGGACTGTTTGGATCGGGCTGCTGCTGGCCACAGGCCGTGGGGTCACCCCAAAGAGCCCCCCCCATGTCCTGTGAGGGTCCGTCCAGCCCAACCCCTCTCCTTAGCACCCCATGGCAGGGTGTGAGACCGGGGGCACTTCTGGCTGTGCCAGGACAGGTGGAACAAGTGGGATGGAACAGGCAGGTGGGATGGGACAGGTGGGATGGGACAGGTGTGACAGGGTGGGACCATTGCCAGCCCCGGCCAAGGCTGGACGTTCCCACGCACCAGCTCAGCCCCGGCTCCTGCTCCAGCCCCAGCCCCCGGGTGCTGGTGATGCTCCCAGTGTCACCACGATGGGATCCCTCCATGGGATGGGATGAGATGGGATGAGATGGGATGAGCCCCTGGCTGCCCCAGGCCGCGGGGATGAGCTCCTCCAGCTCCCAGCCTCACCTGGCTCTGGTGTTTGGGGACATGCCCGGGTTTTGGGGCTGCTTTGAGGGGTCCGGACCTCCCGGTGCCCGGGGGTGGGAAGGAGCTGGTTCCCCTGGAGATGCTCAGGGATGCAGGAGCTGCCGTGCCCAGGGCAGCCACCAGCACGGGGCTGTTTGGGGCACTTTGCTGTCCCCTTCCCTGAGCTGGGGTGGCAGGAGTGGAGCTGGCTGGGGACAGTCCTTCCCCAGTGCTCAGGTCCCCTTCCCTCCCCTTCCCTCCCCTCCTTCCCCTCACTCTGTGACTGAACACTGTCCCGTGGTGGGTTTAATGTCCCCAAGGCTGTGTAGGGGTCCCACAAAAACTGGGGACCCTTCTGGTGCTGCCACCCCTGCGCTGCACTGGGGGAACTGGAGCAGGGCCCAGCCTGAGGCTCGGCACTGGTGGCTCTTTGTGCCCCCTCATGTCACACTTGGGGGGGCACTGGGGACCTCGCCCAGGTCCAGGTGTCCCCTGTGGGTGGGCACCGAGATTTGGCAGCTTGAGGGTGGTCGGGGGGGGTCTCTGACCCACTGCCCACTCCCCACAGCCATGCCACGCTCCTTTCCTGCACTCCTCCATGCATCCCTGGGGTGGGAGCAGAGCAGAGCGATGGCACAGGGAGTGACAGGAGTGGCAGAGGTGACAGGACGCCAGCAGCGTGGCCTGCGCCTGGAAGGGCACCTCTGTACCAGCCGGGCGCTCCGGGTGCCACCGTGTCCTCCCCTGGCCAGTGACCGCCCTGCAGAGCTGCTCCCGCTGCCCGGGCGGGCTCGGGGGGTCCCTGCCCAGCGAGTCCCACCCCCCCCCCAG